AACTAGCACTTTTGCATTTACATCAAATGTTGACATTAGCCTCATTCACATGATTAATCTTAAGCTGGCCTTAAATTTAAGTTGGTTGATCTTGTGTTAAATTATAAATAAAATTAACATGTAAAAAAAGTTCGATATTAATTGTGCCTAGAAGAAATTAAAATTTTAATATATATATTTAAATTTTGGAGGAATGGAACCATATTTTTAACCCATTATAATACGTAGGTCTTGTTTTTAACATTCATATCTTTAGAAATATAATATGTAAAAAATAGAGTACCTATTTTTAATGTACAAATTCACTCTGGTCAACTATCACAAATACAGGCACCTTGTATTATTCATAAGAGTTGAGAATGATTATTCTTCATCATCTTTAGACAATACTAGCTGTAGTTAATAAGCACAGACACTTAAAAGTTACCAAAATCCTTTACCCCTTAGACTTTCAACAACCATTGCTACATTTCCTGGTCCCTAAATTGTATCTGCACATGAATCTCATCTCCTTTCCCTAAATCGGTTCCACCATTTGCCTTATTTCTTCTCAAATCATTATGTAGTTGTTGTTGGGTTTGTTTTTTTTTTTTTTTTCTGAGAAATTAAGCTAGGCTGAGTAGCAAAGATAGACTTTATAATCCTGTGTAAAGTAAGCAGGGCTATCTCTATACGCCCTTATACTCGTAACTTCATGAAGAAATTGTCAAAGGTTCATATAGAACAAAAGTAAAACCAAAGAATCACTGAAGTAGTAATCACTAAACATTTATTACATACTCACCAAAAAGGCAGTTAGCAAACTGGGAGCATTTAAACCACAACATGGAGTGAAGCTCAGGGGTATATTATTAAAAAAGCAGCTTACCTAGTGAAAAAGCAGTGACCGTTTATTCTTCACAGTTATTGGTTATAATATTAGAATTTTCAGCAGTTACTTTCTATCAATCTTGGGAAATAGTTCAAGTTTTGCTTATGATTTCCAGAGGCATAAGCAAGAAATGATCCAGGTCAAGCTAGTCTTGCAAAATAAGCTAAATTAAGGTTTATTTCTACAACTAAACAGGTTTTGGGTGCTCAGGGAATTTTCAAGACTATCTCCATTTGTTTGTTTGTTTTTATTTTAACAAAGTAAAAGTCAGTACTCTTATAAGAGCAGAAGACTTAGTATTCACTTCACAAGTTAGAAATAATTTTTATATATTTTCTAATAAAAATAGGTGTATATGCCTGTGTATGGATGTATCCACAGTATACAATATATTTCACCAAAGCGATCTTAGAAGTCATTAATAACCCAGTGCTGAGAAACATTATCAGTCTCCTCTTCTCTCTCTTTCTCACTCACTCCCCTCCCACTCCCTCCTTCTCTCTGCCCCTCATCTCTCCCTTCCTAATGAATAAAATAATATGCTCACCCTCTGGTGGCCAAAATCAGAAATACATTTCCATTTTCCTGGATTACATCCAAAATATTAGTGTGGTGTATTAAGTTCCTGCTTCATATTTAACTTACACCAGAAATAGATCTAAAAGAAGACCACTGGCTTCAAAAAGAAAACAAAAACAGATCTACTACAATATCTAATGGAAAATCAATAAAATTATTAAATAGAATAATTTAAGAATTGCTTATGACAGCATGATAACACTAATTTGGTTTTAAAATATTAGAACTGTACAATTTTAAAGTAGGAAGAACTTAGTCTATTCCCCTCCCATTTAAAATTGCATGTCAGATAATCAGTGAAAAAATTCAATTTTTATTTAATTTTTTGTTTTTTAACATTAATAGAATGAAAAACAAGTCTGAATAAATGGGATTAAACAGTAACCTTAAATAGAAACATTTTTTCTTATGTTTCTATTTTTAATTTACAAATAGCCCTAAGAATCAGGAAAAATTCATACCTCATATAAGTTTAATTTTCTGCCCACTTTATTCAACCAACCATCCAACAAATCCTTGTTGCATATCTGTTATGGTTTCTATGGCATATACTGAAATTATAACTGTTCCTGCTTTCAGCCTGGTGAACGGTACAGATAAACAGTAATTCCAAGACAGAATGATGAATGTGACAACAGACCGAGCACAAAGAATTAGGGCCATCAAAGTTGTCTTGGTGGGAGAAGTAATCAGGAAAAGATTCTGGGAAAAGTGACATATTTGCTGAGACTTGAAACAAGAAGAGGAAAGAGGGTGGGAAGAATTATTCTATAGGCAAGAAGAAAACTTTATATCCACAGGGCCTAAGGTGAAAGAGAATGTGGAAATCAGGAGAAACTACAAAAGCATGCTTGAAAAGAAGTCTGAAAAGAAATGATTAGAGTTGCAAAGAAAATCTGAAGAATATGGTGCTCCAGAAAGATCAACAATGTCTAATATTGGAGAGAAGTCTTTAAAATATCCACTGGATTTAATGACAAGAAAGTCATCAGTGTCTATGAGAGAATCACCACTAGTTGAATTAAATGGAAAGAATGAATGGGAGTCAAGAGAGTGAGCACAGCAAAAGTGGACAACAGAAATAATTATAGAGAGATGGATAATGAGAGGTTTCTTAAAGATAAAGCATTCAGTCTACAACCATGCCACCCTAAACAAGCCCGACCTCGTCTGATCTCGGAAGCTAAGCAGGGTCGAGCCTGGTTAGTACTTGGATGGGAGACCACCTAGTAAGACCGGGTGCTGTAGGTGTAAATAGAAAAAAAAATAGTGTCCAGAATATGTGTAAATAACAAAAATAGAAAAAGCCAACATAGAGGGAGGTTTGTAGATAAAACTCATTCATAGAGAGCTTTAATGTGAACATTGAGACAGGCAGGGATGGGAGCTAAAATACAGGAAAGATTGGGGCATGTCTTTTCGGTAAAGTGAACTCTTTGCTTTTTAAATTAAACCACATGCAAAATTACCTTTGAAAATAATATGGTAATCAGTGCAAAACTACCCTGAAAAAAGGAAGCACTTTTTGAATTTAAAGAAAACATTCTTGTGTGTTAATCGACTATATTTGGTTGGATAAAGAATAACAACCTAAGAGTCAGGTATTTCAGAACTTGAATTAAATTTTTCTAGATATTTTAGTACCACTGAAATAATTCTTAAAAAGTCATCTACTTAAATGTCTAAAAATGTAACCCAGTTTATATTCATCAACTAGCTGATTCCCTTGGATTTTTGTTCATTTGGAAGCAAGTTTAACTTGAAACAAAATATCTTTCTTTTCATTTAATTGAAAATAGGACTGTAAGATAGGTTCCCCGCCCCCCCCAACCCGCCACACCCAATATGTAATTGGAAGAAAAACAAAAAAGGCTTGGTATGTCTAAATGGTAACATTGCTGAAAGATAAGGCTTAAGCGCTCATTTTTCTCTTTCTTGAGTCTCCATGTTCCAATGATACTTTATGTCATCTATTGTCCTATTATAAAAAGCCTTTCTATACCTGGGGCAAAGATAACTTTCTTATATGATTTTGGTAATAGCCAGATAATTTATTTCCTGCAACTCAATACTTTGTGAAATAGAATATTTAGTCATATTTATTGGATTTATAAAGCATTTGGCAATTAACAAAATGCTTTCACACTGGATTACTTTTTAAGACTGAAAGAATCAGCTAAAGAATTCAAACTGCTAGATAATGACTACCCATTTTACAGATGTCTAAATCAAGGGTCAAAAATCCAAATAACATTTAAACTATGTGCTAGCACATACTAGGTACAAAAAATAAGTCACTGCCATACTGGTATTCATATTTCAAAAGTCGACATTTATTAGCCAAGTATCCTGTTACTGATATAGTGATACAGTCCGTAATTGCTTATAGTTTTTATGCACTGTACTACTTCATTAAATGCTACTTAGATTTAATTTCTATTTCAAAATACATTAAAAGTAATCCACAAGTAAATTCAGTAAAATATGTACTGTCAGAACAAAATATTCCTACTGTCGTGATTAGATTTTGCCTTCTTCAATATAAAAATGAATTCCTTCAAATTTTGTTTTAATTATATTTTCTGATTGGAAAACTAAACATATAATTAAATGGCTATTTCTGCATTTACATTTTTTTCCTTCTAATGATTTTATTAGTGTGATCGCAAGTTTGATATCCACAGTACATTGATAACAATATTTGAAAACAATATTGGAAATAAGTAAATTACATAAGTGTGGCATGTTTTAAATTGTCAACTTTGAGTAATCATGCATTTCCCATGCATTTGCATTTGCATTTGCACACTCAAAGTACACAACTCAATATGTGCTTATCCTCACTGGGTTAAGGTGTATGCCTTAGCTAGGGTAGGGCAGAAGTGGTTGTGCCTTTCTGCAGACCCAGATTTTCAAAAGTAACAATGGCGAACTCAGGTATACCATGGAGCATGGTGGCAACACTGGTTTTGCTTTGGTTTAAGTGAAAATGCAATTACAGGCTATTGCTTGTGTGAGCCACCTGATCTCCCAGGGCTTGGAACAGCACAAAAGTATTTTGATATCCTTGCATGAGGCCAGCAGGTAGTTTCTGTAGATGTAGTTCCTTGAGTGGGGCGTGGGTAGGGGGAGTCTAGAACTGAGATGCACAGTCTTGTAATATGCTGTTGGTGATACAGCTGCAACCAACCTGGGATTCGTGGTAACTTCTTTTCATCAAAGGTATTCATAGTCCAAGCAACAACCTGAATGCTATTAGCTGTCAAGCAGTCTGGGGATGCAAAATACTTTTGCATGAAAAAAGCTAAAATTCCACACAGGTACAAGACATCATGTATACTCCAATCAAGCAAAATATCCATTACCACAAACATGGATTGTTTCCAGAGAATTTCATAGCCTGGTTTCCCATCTCCTGTATGCCTAAGCCTCCAAGGTCTGTGAGTTAAAGCTGTTACTACATTGTGATATGTTTGTCACATCTTATAAAGAACTTCCGGCAGGAAAGAGCAGACAATACTATTATTGCGTAACTGAGAAAACTGTATACTTTTTTTTTTTTTAGAACATCAGTAGCCATTTTTACATGGACTTTGACATCAAAGAAAATTGTGAGGTTTTAGTTCAGGCACTTAGCACTGGCTTCCCTCAGGGTAGGGATGTTCTCATCAGGGAAATCATTTTTGAGTCTGTGATTTGCTGCAGCATTAAACTTTCTAATTTGTTCAAATGTCAAATCACACACTGACCACTCCCATCGGTCACACTATTGTGCATTAAGACAGGAATCCCATCAGAAGTAAACTAAACAGTCAACTCCACATCTGTTGCTCCACCCTTAACTGCCTGCCCAAGGGCCCCCAACATGTTCTCAGGCACATTGTGGCTACCATTGCAGAGCAATGGAGGAAATGTGGTCCCAGGGCTCAAGCACCTGCAGGGTCCTGCAAGAGGGCTCAAGTACCTGCAGGGTCCTGCAAGAGGGCTCAAAGCAGAAGAGGTGTGGCAGGAGGTAGAGGCTGCCAGAGAAGAGGCAGGCATGGAACGGGCTGTGCATGACCAGCAGCAGCAGCAGCAGCAGCAGCAGCAGCAGCAGCAGCAGCAGCAGCAGGAGGACGGGGCCTAGGAAGGGTTCCCTGGTTCTCTCACAGCCACATCCCTAAAGGCACAGACAGAAGTCCATGACCCACTGGTTCCCATACAGAACTGTGAGAAGCCTAGGAGATCTCATAAGACACTTGCTGCATGCAGCTGACCTACTTACATTTTCTTTTAGTTTTTTTTTTTTTTTTTTGAGAAATAAATCAAAAGTGTATAGGACTTTGTAGAATTTATTGAGTATTACTTTTTAAAAGCTTACCTGTAATTTTATTTTGATTTGCTATTCATAAATGTGTCCAGACATTTAAGGCCACACATTTAAAAATTTTATTTTTAAAAAATAAAATATATAATACAGCACGAAATGTAAATGCACACATATTAAATAGATTATTTATTTACACCAGTTAAATTGATTAGCGTTTAGTTGATCAACAAATAACAGATTAAACCTGAAATACTTATTCTTAGTTGGATAGTCTCAAGTAGAATTATTTCCTAAAAACAGTATTTAAGATATAAGGGAATAGACACAATAATATATCCATTCTTGTTGTTCATTCAGAGGCATTACATGTTGACAAACCTGCATATAAAAACAGAAAGCTTTTACTTTCCTTTTATATATTGTTATTTTTGGCTAATTTTTCAATTGGACAACATTTCTAGATCCTATGTAAAAATACCCCTGTGCGTATAAAATTCTATAGTATCTGTCCTCGGCAGGGACCTGCAGTCTGCGTTCTGATGTCTAATAGGATAATCCAGCCTGAACTCTACTCTAATATAGTAGGTGATAGTTAGTGATTGTGAATGTAGATAAAGAGGGATGGTGGAAAGAGGAGTAAATAGCCTTTTCTCACTACCTAGAACATTTTCTAAAATCCTCATTGGGATAACAGAAAAGATAATCTTACACTATCCTATTCTAGAATGTTTTAGGATTTCATGGGTAGTATGGAGAAAGAAAGGGCAGGTATAGAAAGCTTTTTCATTTCACTAGACTAATTTCAAAGTCTACTGATCTGTCCTTGCTTTTGAACTCCTGCTAACACCAGAACTCCAGCTGTTCCTGGCTCTGGACTTAGTTGGTCATCAAAAACTCAGAAGGATTTTCTCTTTCAGGATATCTTAGAAAAACTAAACAACGTATATAAATGTATTTCAGACTACAAAAATTCCTATTACTATTACCACTACTTTGTACTTCTATATTATGTTCAAAAGTGCTTTCACGTACATCATCTTACTTTTACATTAATCTTGTGAAGTGCCTGAAGCTGGTGATATTATATTAATTTTAACTTAAAGGGACTGGATCAGAGAGGTTAAGTGAATGTCCCATAATCACTGAACCAAATAGTGAAAACTGAATTAGAATCTATTTCCTAGTACTGGATAATACTAACGTGAATATCGTACTTAAAATAATTTTTCAATTTATATCATATATACATTTATTCATAGCATTAACAGCAAAAATGTTTTTTTTTTCAAATTGATAAAACAAAAGGCTTTAATTAAAAAAAACAATGCAAATACATTACCATTGTAGACTTTGGTGCCACTTCTACTGCAAATATGTTGAGTCCTCTGCTGTTCATGCAGTTTTTACTCAGCTCATTGTTGATATGAATAATTACTTTATTATCTGACTATAAAAACAAGATTTCATAAGTTGATAGTCCTTTCTCTAAGAAATACAGACAAATAAAATGATAATTATAAAAAACTTTGTAAGTCTTGTGATAGAGGTATTCACAGGGTTCTGCAGAAACACAGAAGACATTATGGAAATACAGAAACATTAGCTGGAACTGGGTATCAAGGAAGACCTTATGGAAGAAGGGATACTTGAGATAATAGATGATAGATAACAGCCTCTAGGATGGATAGGAAGCAAGAAAAAAGCTGAAAAATGAGAGACATGCACGAGTCAAACTATCCCCCTGCTATAGAACCTATAGTCACTCCCTAATGACTAAAAGGGGCAATGTAACATTAGAGCCTAAACTCATTTCTCAGCTCTTCTACTACTTAGCTGTTTGACCTTCTGCAAATTAACATCTCTGTGCATTGGTTTCTTTGTATGTTAAATAGGGATAGTATTTACCTCATTGGGTTGTTGCGAGAAGGAAATGTGTTAATAGTTGTAAAGTGCCTGGCACACTGTAAGCTCTAAAATATTATCATTACCTCATTTTGGTGAAGGAAGCTTAATTTTTCTTGAGGGAAAAGGAGGTGGAGGGTTGAGAAATGATGGGTTACAGCAGAGCTGAGGGATTAGGGTAAGGTAGTGACCCATTTCCACCTTTGTAATCCTATTAAAGCTTAGACGGCAGTAAGGAAAACGTGCTGGATTTTAGGAATCACTCCTAAAGCTTTACAATCCATTTCAAGATTGCAACCTACTAGATGGAGACCTTAGCTTATTTCATTGAGTCCGAATTTCTCTATCTTGTTTCCAAGATCACATATATAATCTGGACCCATTCTACCTATGTTATTTATCTTCCTGATACT